CTAAGAGGGGCCAGGGCAGCCGTGAAATTTGTTGGGTTATCCTTCCTATGTGGAGAAATGACCAATATTTGTGGACTAAGCCCACACTTGTTAAGTCCATTTGAAGCCACATTTTGCAGCCCTTTAAGACAAAGAAAGGAGTCTGATTTTGATAGCAGAAAGTGGAGAACACGTGAGGGACCAGCCGGCAGAAAAGGGAAAAGAAAGCAGGGGAGAATTCTGCAGATTGGTATAGTGCACAGTTTTGCAACTTTGTCCGATCCACAAATGTTCACTGTTGGATTGAGCTGAAATTTGGTCTGAGGGTTTACAAGACTTTGATCTACAATCTGAACGGTCAGTTTTTCGTTTGGGGCTCTGTAGGTTCAGTTCTTATGCCTTAAACAGTAGCTCGTATTTTGGTGCTTTGTTTTCTTGTCTTTTTTTTTACTTTGTTGGTTTGTGGCCTATTGTTACTCTTATTTGGTGCTGTTTTTATGCTTTTTTTAGAAGAGGATATTGTGTACTCACTTTTATCATAGTAGAACTATTTTGAGTGGACTGGATGTCCTGTACGTAGAGAACACGTGAAGGACCAGCCGGCAGAGAAGGGAAAAGAAAGCAGGGGAGAATTCTGCAGATTGATACAGTGCACAGTTTTGCAACTTTGTCCGATCCGTAAATGTTCACCGTTGGATTGAGCTGAAATTTGGTTTGGGGATTTACAAGACTTTGATCTACAATCTGAACGGTCAGTTTGTCGTTTGGAGCTCTATAGGTTCAGTTCTTGTGCCTTGAACAGTAACTCATATTTTGGTGCTGTTTTTGTGCGTTGTCTAGAAGAGGATATCGGTACTCACTTTTATTATAATGGAGTTATTTTGAGTGGACTGAATGTCCAATGGCTTTTACTTATTTTTGGGATTTTTCACGTAAAATATTGCGTTCCTTGTGTGATTGGTTTGCCTTGGCTATTTTTATTATTCTGCATATTTTTAGCTGTTGTCATAATTTATTTGGATTCAATTTAACTTGTTCCTAAGAATTTCAAACAAATTGGGGAAGATTTTGATGTTACTTTTGTTTCCGTTGTGCTCAAGTGACACCCGTTTTTCCCAACAAAATTTTCCGAGTTTCTTTCACAATAATGTAATGAGACGTGGAAACTCATAAATGCCTTATAAGTGCATATAATATATATATTTTTTTGAATATATTTTTCAAGGGGCGGGTTCGAACCTTGCTCGAATGCACCGATAACTAATGTTATTAGACTTCAAGAGTCAGGTGCATAAGTGCATATAATATAGACGGTTTTAGTTGAGTAGAATACATAAAGTAAGAACAAATAACATGTTAATTCAGAGTTAAAAAATTTTTTAAAATAAATTTTTAAATTTGAATTTTGTGAATAAAAAAATAAAAATTGAAAGAATTTTCTTTTCAAGTCTAATGTGATTTATTTTTGAATTAATTAAGATTCAAAATGTAATTTTTTAATATCAAAAAATTCAGAAAAAAAAAAAAAGTAAATTAAGAAACACTTGAAGAAAACTTGTCATTTTT